GCCCACACTCTGACCTGTTCTGCAGAAGGTGGCTGAGGCTCGGACAGATGAGGGCCCTGCCAACATTCCAGTCTAAAACTTGGTGCTGGGCTTAGGACCAGAACCCAGGTCTGTCTGATGTTAACCTCAGAGCCTTTTCCATCACACAGGAGGCCACCTTGATTGGGAAAGCAGCGAGAGGTTGCAGCAATAGCAGGGCGATAGCATTTGGCAACCGTGAGCAGTAGGCCTGAGGTGAGGGTCGGGACTTGGAGACCTACCAGAGCCTACACCATGGGCCTGAGGCCCCTGGGAGCTGTTCACAATCCCCGTTACCTCTCGGGGTCCCAGTCTTGTCTCCTGCTAACAAGCCTCTGTAATCTGAGGCCCCTCTCAGCACCAAGCCTGAGGTTCTCAGGGTCCTGCGGGGGGTGGGGGGGGCAATCCCTCTCCCTCTCTCTGCCCCACCCCCTCATGCTGTGCTACTAACCAGGAGTGGCTGCCAGGTGTGCTAGGGCCCCCAGAGAATCCTCCAACTTCCCCTCCCCATCAAAGAGCCAGGGCTGATGCAACCTGCCTGTAATCACCGCCTCACTCCCCAAGCCAGGCCCCTCCGCACCAAGAAAGAGTCCAGTAGCCCCACCTTTGCTTCAAGCTCCAGCTGAGGAGTTGAAGGGGAGCTTGAGGCTAGGGAAGGCCAGGGGAGCTGGAGGCTAGGGAAGGCCACAGAATGAGTCCTGAAGGGGCCAAAGGCCTGGGTCAGGAATGGGCCCAAGAGAGGACTCACAGTTCAAAGACCTGGGGAGCAGGGGCTGCAGGCAACCGCTGACAACCCACGGTGAATTAGAACAGGTTAGAAGGGGCTGGAGAGCTAAGCGTGGGAACTGGTACCCACTCAGTACTGAGTCCAGCTGCTTGGGTGGGCTGGGCTGAAGTGGCTGGGACCCAATAGCTAGAGGGAGAAAAAGGCAAAAGGGCTGAGGAGGTGGGGGAGGGGAAGCAGAGTCCCTGCCCAGACGCCTCTGCAGCCAGCGTAAACCACACACAGTCAGCAACAAAATTCTCTTACTGATGAGGTTATTAAAAAATACCCATAGGCCGGGCGCGGTGGCTCACGCCTGTAATCCCAGCACTTTGGGAGGCCGAGGCGGGTGGATCACAAGGTCAAGAGATCGAGACCATCCTGGTCAACACGGTGAAACCCCGTCTCTACTAAAACTACAAAAAATTAGCTGGGCATGGTGGCGCGTGCCTGTAGTCCCAGCTACTCAGGAGGCTGAGGCAGGAGAATTGCCTGAACCCAGGAGGCGGAGGTTGCGGTGAGCCGAGATCGCACCATTGCACTCCAGCCTGGGTAACAAGAGCGAAACTCTATCTCAAAAAAAAAAAAAAAAAAAAAAAAACCATAACCCAGGCCCGGACCCTTTTCACAAGACGGTGCCGAAAGCGAAGAAGGAAGCTCCTGCCCCTCCTAAAGCTGAAGCCAAAGCAAGGGCTTTAAAGGCCAAGAAGGCAGTGTTGAAAGGTGTCCACAGCCACAAAAAAAAGAAGATCCGCACGTCACCCACCTTCCTGAGGCCCAGGACACTGCGACTCTGGAGGCAGCCCAAATGTCCTCGGAAGAGCCCCCCAGGAGAAACAAACTGGACCACGATGCTATCATCAAGTTTCTGCTGACCACTGAGTCTGCCATGAAGAAGGCAGAAGACAACAACACACTTGTGTTCACTGTGGATGTTAAAGCCAACAAACACCAGATCAGGGCGCGGTGGCTCAAGCCTGTAATCCCAGCACTTTGGGAGGCCGAGGCGGGTGGATCACGAGGTCAAGAGATCGAGACCATCCTGGTCAACATGGTGAAACCCCGTCTCTACTAAAAATACAAACACCAGATCAAACAGGCTGTGAAGAAGCTCTATGACATTGATGTGGCCAAGGTCAACACCCTGATTCGGCCTGATGGAGAGAAGAAGGCGCATGTTCGACTGGCTCCTGGTTATGAAGTTTTGGATGTTGCCAACAAAACTGGGATAATCTAAACTGAGTCCAGCTGGCTAATTCTAAATATATGTATATCTTTTCACCATTTAAAAAAAAAAAAAAAAAAAAAAATACCCAGGCCCGGCAGGGCACAGTGGCTCACACCTGTAATCCCATCACCTTGGGAGGCCAAGGCGGGCGGATCACCTGAGGTCGGGAGTTTGAAACCAACCTGACCAAGATGGCGAAACCCTGTCTCTACTAAAAATACAAAATTAGCCAGGCGTGGTGATGCACACCCTGTAATCCCAGCTACTCAAGAGGCTGAGGCAGGAGAATCGCTTGAACCTGGGAGGTGGAGGTTTCGGTGAGCTGAGATCATGCCACTGCACTCCAGCCTGGACAACAAGAGCAAAACTCCATCTCAAAAAAAAGAAAAGTATCCTACCTGGCCATCCTCTCGATATCCCTCAATCCCAGTCTAAGTACGAGACAAAACCAAATGGAAGCACATTCCATAAAATACCCAACCAGCATTTTTCAAAACTGTCAAGGTCATGAAGGACAAGGAAAGTCTAAACCTGTTACAGGCCTGTAATCCCAGCACTTTGGGAGGCTGAGGCAGGCGGATCGCGAGGTCAGGAGTTTGAGACTAGCCTAACACGGTGAAACCATCTCTATTAAAAAATACAAAAATTAGATGGGCGTGGTGGCATGCATCTGTAATCCCAGCTACTCAGGAGGCTGAGGCAGGAAAACTGCTTGAGCCTGGGAGGTGGAGGTTGCAGTGAGCCAAGATCTCGCCATTGCACTCCAGCCTGGGTGACAGAGTGAGACTCCCTCTCAAAAACAAAAGAAAACAAAAAAACCCACTCCCCATGTACAATCTAGAAGGTCTTCTTACGAGAAGATTCTGGCGGGGGTGGGGGTGGGCACGGTACAACTATGCCTCCTTACCACTGGCAGTCTGTCCAACAGTCTACCCTTAATTCCATCTGCTTTTGCTCAAAAACCTATACTGAGAAGTGGAAGGAAGTTGGTCCTGAAATCTCCTTTGTAAATAGTTTGAAAGCACCTACTGCACAGGAATAGAAAGAGAACACATCCACCTTAATCACAGCAATAACAGTAACCACCGTGTACGCAGCACCTACTGTGTACCAGGCGCAGTCTAACTGCTTGACACGAATTAACTCATTTACTCCTCATAACAGCCTTAAGAGTTAGGAACTGTTTTTGAGACAGGGTCTCACTCTGTCACCAAGGTTGGAGTCCGGTGGCCCAATCTCGGCTCACTGCAACCTCCGCCCCTCCCCAGGGTTCAAGTGATCCTCCTGCCTTAGCCTCACGAGTAGCTGGGACCACAGGTGCAAAACACCACACCCAGCTATTTTTTTGTATTTCTGGTAAAGATGGGGTTTCACCAAGTTACTGAGGCTGGTCAATTTCTGACCTCAAGCAATCTGCCCAGAATGCTGGGATTACAGGTGTGAGCCACTGCACATGGCCCAGCAGCAGGTACTCTTAATGCCACTTTGTACTAAAGGGGAAACTGAGGCAAAGCAAGGGGAAATGACTAGGGTCGCACAGCTAATAAGTGGGGTGCAGTTAGGTTTTGAACTCATATAATCTGGCTCCAGAGTCTATGCCAGGGATGGATACTCTTTTGGCTTCCTGGGCCCACACTAATAATTGTCTTGGACCACACATAAAATACACTAACAATAGCTGATGAGCAATAGATAAATAAATCAGATCGCCAAAAAAAATTTGCATGTTTTAGAAACATTCTGGGCTACATGTGGACCCACGTACATGGGTGGGTCCATGTACGTACTTGGGTGGGACAAGCTCAGTCTGTGCTCTGAGCCGCTACCCTACATACTGCATAGGTGATAACACAGCCCCTACAGTGAAAGGAAATACAGGGCAAGTGCTCAGAAACTGGCAGTGGACAGTAAGTGCTCCAAGAGAAGGTGGTCAGATCCCGAGAAGGATCTGACTGCCACAGGGAAGGGAGGAGAAAGAAGTTTGTGTGTAATGCTCAATACCAGGGTTCCTCCACCTTCTCTGGACCTTGATTCACTCTCTTAACTGCCACAGAAGGGATGAAGGTTGAGCTCCAGCTGGGGTGTCCTGATGTGGATGGGACAAGGTGGGTTTCTGCAACAGAGAAAAGACCAACATCCACTTCAGCTAGTGGAGGGCCCAGTGCAGAAGGGGCAAGATGGCTACCCTGTCTTTGACTAAAGGAAAACAGAGATCTTCCATTTTTGGCAGGGTTGTGAGATAGCTCCTATCCAGTGGAGGCTAAGGCCTGTCTGAAAGGAAGCCAAGGCAAGGGATGGAGAAAAGAACGAAGCTGGGGACTTGATGCATGAATCCCTGCCAGGGGATGAGGCCTGGGCACCCATCCTTTGGAATGGGAGGTGAGACAAAGCGGACACTTTGGAGGAATGAGGGAGACAGAATGACCCACCAGCAGGTGTTGGACAGTCCAACGCCTGCGGCTCTTGCAAGCGGGGAGGAAGAAGGGAGACTGGGCCCCAGAGTTTCTATTAATAATAAAATACGGCTGGGCACGGTACTTCACGCTTGTAGCCCCAGCACTTTGGGAAGCCGAGGCGGGTGGATCACAAGGTCAAGAGATAGAGACCATCCTGGCCAACACCGTAAACCCTGTCTCTATTAAAAATACAAAAATTAGCCCGGAGTGGTGGTTCGTGCCTGTAGTCCCAGCTACTCGGTAGGCTGAGGGCAGAAGAATCACCTGAACCCGAAAGGGGGAGGTTGCAGTGAGCCGAGACTGCACCACTGCACTCCAGCTTGGGTGACAAAGCGAGACTCTTGTCTCAAAAAAAAAAAAAAAAATGTTGAACAGGAATGTATGAGTTGAACTCTGTGCATAAAGCTTGGCGGACACACTGTCTTGAGTCTCATAAACCCACCAGGAGAGTTGATTTTCTTATTTTGCAGACAGGGAAACGTGGTGAGGGAACTTATTTGCCGGCGGCCATCCTGGCAGGTCTGCGTTTCGGAGGGGGCTGTGACTCATGCTGGACTCTAACCCACGAGGGTTCTAAGGGTCAGCAGTTGGGGGATGGAGATGAAACGTGTGGCTGGCAGGAAATTCTGGAAGCAGGGAAAGGGAAATTAACTGGTGCCGGTCTGCGGGAAGAGAATAAGCCTGGATCCTCAATCACAGGAGGAGGCAGGCCCAGACCTCAGAGGCAGAAAGAGAAACCAGAGCCTAAAGTCACAAGGAAAAACCAGACCTCGGAGCCACAAGCAGGAGAGGGCCGGACCCTGGCTCAGAGGGAGGGGGCCGGAGCCTGTGAGAGGGAAGTAGGGAGTCGGATCCTCTGATCCCCACGAGGAGAGGACCTGGCTGCCTCCCGCTTGGGGCCGCGCGAGGGCGGGGCGCGGAAGGATCCGGGCGGGCCGTGCTGCGCCACCCCGGATATATCTATCCCCAGTCCCCGGGGCCGCCTCATTCCCCGTCCTCAGTTCAGTCTTGTCACTACAGCGTCGCCTCCTCCGCCCGCGTAGCCCCGGCCATGGCTCTGTAGCCGCGACCCCTTAGTGCCCCCAGCCCGTCTCCGCGCCTGCGCTCTCCGCTCCCACCTTCTTTCTTCAGCCGAGGCCACCGCTGCCTCTTCCTGCCGCAGCCATGGAGTGAGTAACCGCTCGCTTCTCCCTATCCAACCGCCTTTCCCGCGCTTTCGCAGCTCGTGGCCGTCTTTAGGGAGCCCTGGGGGTGGGGAACCACGAGCGGGGAATGACGGTCGCGCAGGCGCAGAAAAGGGACGGCGGGCCGAAGGCGCGCGGCTACGCGTGCGCACTGGGCCCGAGGCCGTGTGGGAGAGTTCTAGACTTGGTGTTTGTCAGCCCGCGTGCGGCTGCGCCTGCGCATTCCAGGGGAGGGTGTGCTTTTTTCTAAACGATTCCGTGCGCGCTTGGTTGCTCTTGCGCAGTAGCCCACTAGTGCCCCGTATGAATGAGCGGCGGGTCCTGTGCGGCGTCACACACGCGCATTGATCCCCAGGAGGGCGGCGGTGTAAAAGCAATTGGACCGCTCTGGCGGCGGAACATGCACTTTGTCTTTCGGGGGCAGAGCCGTGTGTAGACAGGTGGCGTTCGGGTAGCCATTCTCTGCCAATCCCCTCTACCCTCCTCCACCTTTCCGGCTCCACATTGCTGTGACTCACAGCACAGCTTTCTTCCATTTCAACTAGGCACCTGCTGAGGCAGTGACTCACGTAGATTGACAGGGCAGAAGGCGGGGCTTAGAGGGGCCTCTTTAAACGGGTGGAATCAGAACCACTTCGTCACGATGGGTGGGACTTAGGGAGTCCATTGTGAGAAGGGGCGGGGCCAAGGCAACAGCTGAGGGATGGGACAAAGAGGCGGGGCCTCTAGGGAATCGGGGGCGGAGCTAAATAAACAATGAGGGGCGGGGCTTGGAGGGGCAGTGGCAAGGCGAAGCGTGGGATTTTAGTGGATAACATTAAAAGGCTGGGACCTGGGGCGGTTCCCCTGGGAACTGATTTGGGATGAAAGCTAGGAAGGCAGTGGAGCCGAAAGGAAATATTTTAGAGGAAGGGGCGTGGCTGGAAGAAAATGTCCCTAGGATTGAGTTTTTCTATGAAGCGAAATATTCTGAGGTGGATGGGAGGGGCCTAAGGTAATCCCCCAGGGATACCCTTAGGTTCTGTATTGGGGGAAGAGGTGGGGCATCGGTCCTACCTTAGTACCTATAGCGAGTTCCTTGGTGGTGGGTGGGGCTCAGAGATTTGGGGAAAGAAAGGGCAAATTTAGAATTCGTTGAGGGTGAGGCTCCTAAACCCTGGTTGGAAGGGGGAGGAAGGAGCCCCATGGACGTGCCTGGGGGTGTGGCTTGGCTTCCCCGTGATTTTTGGCTGGTGGGCGAGGCTGGTCCTGACCCCACCCACTCTTGTCTCACGCGTGTAGGTCTTCCACTTTCGCCTTGGTGCCCGTCATCGCCCAGCTGAGCAACCTCCAGAACCTCGTCCCAGTTGCTGCTGCAGCCTCTCCTGTTGCCATCAGTGCCCAGCAACTGTGCTACCGCCATGTCACTCCTGGCGACCCTGGGGCTGGAGCTGGACAGGGCCCTGCTCCCAGCTAGCGGGCTGGGATGGCTCGTAGACTATGGGAAACTCCCCCCGGCCCCTGCCCCCTTGGCTCCCTATGAAGTTCTGGGGGGAGCCCTGGAGGGCGGGCTTCCAGTGGGGGGAGAGCCCCTGGCAGGTAAAGGCAAGTGGAAGGTGGAGCTGGGGAGTGGAGGGCAGGGGAAGATGGGGGAGGAAGAACTCATTCATGTATTCAGTAAATATTGAGTGCCTACCTTGTGCCAGGCGCTGTTTTAGGTGTGAGGATACAGCCGGGAACCGGAAGAACATGGTCTGTGCCCTCCAGCAGCTCACACTCTGAGGAGTAGCCCAGAGACAAATTAAATGAGGGTGTGTTGGAATAAGTCAGAAACACCTAGCAGCTAAGCTACAAAATGCCAAAGGGGGCCGGGCGCGGTGGCTCACGCCTGTAATCCCAGCACTTTGGGAGGCCGAGGCGGGTGGATCACGAGGTCAAGAGATCGAGACCATCCTGGTCAACATGGTGAAACCCCGTCTCTACTAAAACTACAAAAAATTAGCTGGGCATGGTGGCGCATGCCTGTAGTCCCAGCTACTCAGGAGGCTGAGGCAGGAGAATCGCCTGAACCCAGGAGGTGGAGGTTGCGGTGAGCCGAGATCGCGCCATTGCACTCCAGCCTGGGTAG